GTCATGGTGATTCATTTAATCAGCACAGCGGTCTGCATTCAGATCATTATCATTGTGTATTTAAAGCTCTCAATTTGTGTCTATGCTGTTTAGTTTGCTATTATCGCGCCTGGCATATATTTTCAATTGTTGTCAATGGGAGCGCCACGTTTTTTAAACTCCATGAGCGTAACGAGGCGCTGAGCGTTTTTTTGAGGATGGTACCTAGGATGGTAAGGGAACAGTCATAAATGCCATTAACCCCAGTGATGGTTAGGTTTAGGGACGGGGTTGAGGTAAGTCATATATTTATATAACGTTAAGTCAACGGCGTTCATAAACACGCTCAAAGGCAATTATGCGTCTTGATAGCACGCCAAAAATGGAAATACGAATTGGCGTGGCATACACACGCTACTTTATGAGATCAGTCTGACTTTGGATAAAACGCAGCACTCATTTCTGTCACTTTTTACCCAGCCGTCCAATCACAGTGGAGGAGGGGCGGGACTAAACAACTCTGATCAACTGTCACAACATTCAAACTGCTGCGGATATTCTGTAACGAAACGTCTCAACAGAAAAAACGCTGCGCTGCCAAAACACTCTCAAGCGCCCAAAGCACGGCGTCTTCAGCAGAGCGTCTAGCGTTTTCAGCTGGCTAAAAACGCTTTGGTGGACACACGGCCTTACTTCATTAAAGCTGCAGTCTGTAGCTTTTTTGGGGTTAAAAATTATCAAAGTGGTAAGCTTGTAATAATGTTTTAATTCCAGTGATACTGGTGGATTTCCGCAGGAGATTCGAGCGTGTCTTTACGTCATTACGCCACATCTGTACACATAAAGAAGGAGTCTCGGCTAGTAGGCTATCTTGCGTGAGGATGTTGGAGGTGGAGATTTATAGCCTTTTCTCACAGCACTTGATATAATTAAACGTATCAATTTGATGGCGGATCCAGAAAGGTTCAAACGACAATCACCAGTGACAATAGATTCACCTGCTGTAAAATACAAACGACTTAAATCGGACTTCGGAGTGGCTACAGAAAAAGGAGACTCCAACTGGACCCATGCGAAAACAAGGATAGGCTACATAACATTAACATTAACAATTTGAAAACAAAGTATAACTTGCACTGTTTGCGTGATATGATAAACTATAAGTGATTGTTTGATTTAATCAGCGCAATTTACTGCAATGTCAGAACCAGAACAAAAGTGGATGTTTCTTACTAGTTCAGAGGACATTTTCTGGTGAAAATTCTTATGTTGGTCATTCTTCCAAAAAGAATAATCTGTGATTCTGAATGCCAGTCTCCACATCGGCACGGTGATTGACAGCTGCACACTCTCCTCAAACACTGTGTTCTTCTGGGCTATGTGCCGTACTGTCGAGGGTGTCGTACTATAACTCGTTAAGTTGATAATTATGCGAATGACTGCAATTGCAGAATTCAAACAGAGATGGCGACAAAGAGGAATGCAGCTTTAAAGTATGTAGCTACTTAATCATTCTCTGTTTTCCCTGGAACTAAGCGTAACACACAGAATGTTACTTAAAATTGTTAAAAATTAGACAAATTTGATTGACGTAGAATATGACATTTTTAATTTTCAGTACAAATACATTATTCATTTACATATTTTAGTTATTTATTTAGAAAATTCTTGATTGATCAGATTCGCATGGCAAGTGCTGTGATTTTACATCTCTGGTCGAAATTACGCTATGCTTCATGTCTCAGAGTGATGAAGTGTGATCCTGATCCACTGCAGCAAAGTCAGAGTAGGTCAGGTGACACATGAGGAGGCTGTGCACATTTAACACTGAACACACAGGGACATCTAGTGCTCTCTTATGAAAACTGCACTGTTGCAAACCAACCGAGTCGAATATCAAGATGTTGCTTTTGCAATTTTAGGTAACCACGTAACTTAGACAAGTCTCTTAATGTATTAACATTGTGGAATATCACATTCACACACATTCAATGTCATTATATGCTCTGTAGTTGTTCTTTTTGTTATTTTCTCAGGGTATATAATCAGGCTCTATCATTTTGATTATTATTCATTGGTGTATTTGGATTTGCGCTCACTGCATTTAGACTGACCTTGGCTCCACACAGCACACGTATCCACTCAGATTTTAGTGCTTGAGCCAATAAGGGTTGACAGTTAAGGTCACATGACCCAAATATGTCTGCCTCCACTCCTTCGGACCAATTTGCATACGCAAGTACTCCATGGGATAGAAAGAGCCTTACAGCAAAAAAGACTTCCGTGCATATCAACATAATTGAACATGATAAATGCATCCACATGAACATAATTATGTGTTTGTTGTTGTCAGTAATAAGAAAGTATTGCATCATCTCAGTCTGAGACTGTTTTATAGCTGAATGATGTAAGATTGAATTCATTTTCTCTGTGAAGATTTATCTTTCTCTTGCAGTATTTGGAAAGTGCTTCCAAGGTGCTATTTAGAGTATTATAAATCAAGTTTGCCTATAACACCATGTTCTAGTTTTTTGGAAGAAAACAAAAGGTTTTATTTAGTACTGTGTCTTTTGAATAACATTAAAATACATTTTTCTTGTTGTATTGACAGGGACCAGTGACCCATATGTGAAGTTTAAGATCGCAGGGAAGGAGGTTTTTCGCAGCAAGACAATCCACAAGAACCTGAACCCAGTATGGGAAGAGAAAGTCAGCCTGCTGGTGGAGAGTTTGAGAGAACCGCTCTACGTGAAGGTAAATGATAAATAACAGTTTGAGTGCTTAGCTCCAGTCTTTAAATTAAATATGTAGAGATTTTTGTATGCTGCTGAGACTTTAGTGCTTATTTATTGTGTTTGATTTTATGCAACTAATGGAGATTGCAAAGAAGTAAATCTGTTTATTTACACTTTAAACTGACCTCCGGTCTTACAGTCACAGTAAGTCTTGCTTCTGTTCTTTGTCGTGTGAAATGACATGCCTTACTGTTGTGTGTTTTCTATCCTCTGCAGGTCTTTGACTATGACTTTGGGCTGCAGGATGACTTTATGGGCTCTGCATATCTCCATTTAGAGTCCCTGGAGCACCAAAGGTCGTCTGATGCTTTGTGACACATTGACACATCTGAAACACAATCACAAGACAGAGACTAAAATTATTCACTGCTGCCACCTAGTGATTTTGCATATGCAAACAAGTGTAATTATATTTAACTAAAACCATGAAAATCTTGAATTAAAATAAACACTAACTACAAAAAAAATAAAACCACTTCTCATTTTCATTTAGCTTAGCTTGATGTACTAAAATAACTAAAACTAAAAATGTACTAAAATTTCAGGTAAAATGATAAAAACAAATTCTAAATATTAATAACTGTAATGGTATCTCAATTATAGTTAACACATGAATGCTGTATGAAATGAAGAACATAATCTTTAATCATGGCATGTATTTGGTTGTTCATACTGTAGGTTCTCTCTGTGCCCTTTTAGGACCTTGGATGTGACCCTTGAACTCAAAGATCCCCACTATCCCAACCATGACTTGGGTTCACTGGATCTGACTGTCACACTTATTCCAAAAGAGGGAGACTTCAGGGAAACTGTGAGTTTTTGATTTTCATATCTCTATGTTTTTCTAGCTGATGTGTTTGGGTTGAGAATATGAGCTGGAGGTGTGTGATGTGACCTTGCTGGATCAGATGTGCCTGGAAGATGCAATATTTACTCATCATCAAACCTGAATAGATATTAAGATGATTCACGAAAATTCACAGTTTCGTACTTTTAGGAAAATACATGCATTCCGTTTCCATATTTTGGTCTATGGGAAACCTGAAAATATCAGGGAACTTATTTCTTCTTCAGCCCTATAGTACAAAGAACTGTAAGAATTGCTCTTTACAAGTGTAATCTCTATATAATGAATTTCATAAACACTTATCCAAACCTGTCCATTTTTGGAAAGTCATGAAAATGTATTGGTAAGGAGGTTTGGGAGCTCAGAATCGAATAAAAAAAACGATTTATTTTTAAAAAAAAATGGAAATCTAAGGTAAACTAGTACTCTCTTTGATTTCCACTATACCGTTCAAAGGTTTGGGGTCCTTTTTAAAAAAATAAATGAATCGTTTTTCAGTTGATCAGTAGTGACAGTAAAGACTTTTACATTATTATCAGATAAATCTTGTAATCTTTCTATTCTTCGAGTATGCTGCAAAAAAATAAAAAATAAAATAAATAAAAATAAAAAACAGTTCCACAAAAAATATCGTGCAACTGTTTTTCAATATAGATAATAAGAAATGTTTTTTCAGCAGCAAATTAGAATGATTTCTGAATGATCATGTGACAGTGAAGACTTCAGCTTCACAACAGATTTCCACTTCGCCTTCGCTGAAGCTTCACTTCAGCTTCAGCTTCGCCATCACAGGAATAAATTACATTTTAAAATATATTAAAATAGAAAACAGCCATTATAAATAATAGTTTTACTGGGTTTTTGATCAAATTCATGCAGCCTTTGTGAGCATATAAAAGACTTCTTTCCAAAACATTAAAAAAATTGTACTGACCCCAAACTTGTGAACAAACGTATATTTAGCCAAGGGTTTCAAATGGTTAATCTAATCTAATCTAATAGCATTTCACACATTTGACCACAGTACAGAAGACTACAAATTTGTTTTCTGGGCTATTTATTTATTTATTTAGATGGAACAATGCATATCAATGAACGTACAAACATAGTCGAACGTAAATATGCCGGATTTAGCACAATGCTAATTTCCATCCGTTGTCCCCCAACACAGACAAACACAATCCAAAAATAAGCTAGATGTGCCAATGTCTGACCTGGAAAGTATTTCTATTGCAAACTCTCTATTGTCTAGAGAATATGCCCGGCATTGGCGGGCAGAATTTAAATGCGAGGAGATGAATACAGTTAGCTATTAGCCAGCTAGCTCACTAACAAATGCACCCTGTCTTTACATACAGCCTAATGCGGTCTATTATGTTGCCAAATGAACACGTAGATAAACCACTGAAGAAGACCAGGACCACAAAGGACGTTTTTGCATTTTAATTTCTTCTCCAGATGGTGAAAACTGAAAGCATACACAATATGCTCTTAGAAAAACTAATCTCTACACAGACGAAAATAAAGTCATACATTGGCGCTTTAAATGCATTTCTCAACTAAACAATACAAAAATACATTACTTAAGATCTGTATAAACATATTTATAAACTTACGGCATTGCCTTGACAGTGCTTTAATGAGAATGGCGACAGATCGCGGACCGTATCATGCTGGATTTCGCCTGCTCTGTTTACATGAAACCGAAACCGGAAGTTAGCGCGGCAGAACCGGAGGTGAAATTGTCCGCTAATATTTTTTAAATAAAACTTACAAATAAACATGAAATATTTATAAGAAACCTTTAGAAATGCTTTTTAAACATTTAACTTATTTACTAAATTATTAACTGCCTTAAGAACAACACATTCCCCGCCTGACCTCAGAGAGGACACTACCAACAACAAAACCTTAGCGGGTTTCAGTCCTTTGGCAAAAGAAGAATGACTTCAGTAACTGGTCGCAAAAAGGTCTTTCGAGTGCCTTGGTCATTTACTGTGACCTCGACCTTCCTTACTAGATTGTCCTTCCCAGGGAAGGTTGCCGTGACTCTACTCATGAGCCAGCTGTTCCTTGGGACCTGCTTGTCCTTAAGCAAAACAAGGTCACCAACTTGCAGATTACGACAAGATACAGTCCATTTCTGCCTCTGCTGCAATAAAGGCAGGTACTCTCGCTTCCAGCGTGTCCAGAACTGATTGGCAAGAGCCTGAACTTGTCTCCATTGCTTGGAGTAAAGGTCCTTATCCAAGAAATCTCCAGGAGGAGGTGTAAGGCACGATTTCTGGGTTAGCAGCATGGAGGGAGAGAGAATGAAGGGATTGAGTGGATCGGATGAAACTGGAAGGAGTGGCCTGGCGTTTATGATTGCTGACACTTCAGCCATAAGTGTGCACAATACCTCGTGAGTGAGTTGCACCTTACTTTGAAGCAGCATTGAATCCAATATTCTCCGTGCAATGCCGATCATGCGCTCCCAGGAGCCTCCCATGTGGGACGCATGAGGCGGATTAAATTCCCAACTGCAACCTTGATCATTGAGGTATAGTTGCAGAGCTTTGTCCATTCCTAACTCCTTGGAAGCCCCAATGAAATTAGTGCCACGATCCGATATAAGTTTTTTGGCAGGGCCTCTCAAGGCAAAGAAGCGTCTGAGGGCATTTACGCAACTGCTGGTGTCTAAGGACTCAATCACCTCAATGTGCACGGCTCTTGAGCTCATGCAGGTAAACAGGATGGCCCAACGCTTACTCTGTGCTTGACCACCTCTGGTACGTCTGGTGGTTACTGTCCAAGGCCCGAAAACATCCAGGCCGACATAGCTAAAGGAAGGACATGTTTTCAAACGTTCCGGGGGAAGGTCTGCCATGAGTTGCTCTTCCTGCTTTCCACGCAGTTTGCGACAGATAACACACTTATGGATAACTGAATTAACTAGTCTCTTTCCACCGATTATCCACAGACCTCCAGCCCTTATTGCACCCTCTGTTAGGTGACGACCCTGGTGCTTGACCTGTTCATGGTAGTGGCGAGTGAGCAGGATAGAAACATGACTGTCCTTAGGGAGAATTATCGGGTATTTTTCAGAGTTCTCAAGCTCTGAGTGTTTGAGACGACCTCCAACTGAAATGATGCCGCTGTCCAGGACTGGGCTGAGCTTTTCCAAAGGGCTTTGTTTGGCGATGGATTTGCCAGCGTTGAGGGCAGACAGCTCCTTTGCAAAGGTGGCCTGTTGCACTTGTTGAAGGATGACACGCTTTGCTTGATCCATTTCATCTGGTGTACGAGGAAACTGACATATGTGCCACCCTTTGCATCCATGGTTTGAATTGGAGCCATTGAAAGATTTTGCCATGTGAATGAGGAAGGCGACTCCACGGACCAAAGACTTGAAGGTGGAAAAGCGCTCAAAGCGCTTGCAGGAGACTACTTGAAGGTGAGTGGAACAAGTTCTCACTTGTGGCCTGATTTCACAGTCTTTGTCAGGCTCAACTAACTCAAAATAGTTGTTATCATTTTTTGCCTCTGGGGGTGAACGACGGATGAAGGAAGGTCCAGTGAACCAAGTAGTTTTTGATAGTTGAGCTGCTGTGAGCGAGCGTGATGCGTGATCCGCTGGGTTTTCCTCGGTGCGCACATAGTGCCACTGCTCCGGCTTTGAAGACTGGCGAATACGCTGCACTCTGTTGTGAACATATGTGTAGAATCTTTTTGATTCATTACAGATGTAGCCCAAGACCACCTTGCTGTCTGTGTGGAAGTGAACAGCGTCAAACTCTATGTCCAGCTCATTCCTGACGAGATCAGCTATCTCTACAGCCAAGACAGCGGCGCACAGTTCCAATCTTGGTATAGTGGGCTGTGACTGAGGAGTTAGTTTTGCTTTACCCATGACAAACCCCACCTCAACTTTGTCATTAGCATACAGAGCTCTCAAGTAGGCTACTGCACCTATTGCTTTGGTCGATGCGTCTGAAAAGACATAGAGTTCTTTGCGCTTTGCCTGACTGAGAGTGGTAGATGTGTACATTCTAGGGACATGGAGTTCCCTTAAGTTCTGCAGCGAATCCCTCCAAGCTTCCCATTTGCTCTGCTTTTCTTCTGGAAGAGGTGTGTCCCAATCAGAGTTTTCTGAGGTGAGTTCTCTGAGTAGAGCTCTTCCTTGAATGGTGACTGGTGCTAATAAGCCTAGTGGATCGAAGACACTATTAACAGATGACAAGACACCTCGGCGAGTAAATGGCTTGTTTGTTGTTGCCACTGAAAATGTGAATGTGTCTGTTATGGTTTCCCAAATTAGACCTAGACTGCGCTGTGATTCTGCTTCCTCACCACTCAGATCCAGATCTTTCAGGACTGCTGCACAATCTTCAGGAGAGAAGGCTTGCATGGTTGCAGGTGAATTAGACGCAAACTTATGCAGGCGCAGATTGGACTCAGCAAGTGAAGCTTGCGTTCTTTGGAGCAAGTCAATAGCTTCGGCTGGAGAAGGCACAGAAATCAGACCATCATCGACGTAGAAGTGTCTCTTCACAAACTTGACAGTGTCGGCCCCATAGTCTTTCGCTCCAGCTTCGATGGCCTTTCGCAGACCGTAAACAGCCACAGCGGGAGATGGAGAGTTCCCAAACACATGGACCTTCATTCTATAATCAATGACCTCCTTCTCAACATCATTGTCCTTGTGCCACAGAAAGCGAAGATAGTCCCGGTGATCCTCACGCACTACGAAGCAGTGAAACATCTGCTGTATGTCAGCCATAACAGCAATGCTTTCTTTACGGAAGCGGAGGAGTACCCCTATGAGACTATTGTTTAAGTCGGGGCCAGTGAGGAGTACACTATTGAGTGAGACACCATCCTCCTGGGCACTAGAATCAAAAACTACCCTGATCTTGTTGGGTTTTTGAGGGTGGTAGACCCCAAACGTGGGGAGGTACCAGCATTCTTCTCCTTGCTTCAGTGCGGGTGCTATCTCAGCGTGACCGCTGGAGAAAATCCCTCCCATAAACTCCACGTATTGCTGCTGCATGTGGGGTTTCTTTTGCATACTCCGCTTGAGAGACAAAAAACGTCTGACTGCTAGCTCTCTATTGTTAGGCATCTTCCGGCGAGGCTCTCTGAAAGGAAGTGGGGCGACCCAGCTATTGTCATCGTCTCTGTACATACTTTCATCCATGATCTTTAAAAAACGTGTGTCTTCTACGGAGGGAGCTGGCTCATTGTCACTTTTGCTGTGGTTGAAAACTGATTGTCCCAGACTTTTCTCTGGAGCCTTAGTGTGCCTGTTACTGTACGGCGTTTCCTTGAGCTGACGGAAGTTATCACACTGTCCAAAAACTGTGGGGCGGCCATTTTCAAGAATGATGGTTTTGAATGAGTTGACTGTAGGCTTGTGGACCTTACCTACACACACCTCCCCGACTACGACCCACCCTAAATCTAGGCGCTGGGCGAAGGGCGCATGATGAGGGCCATTAACTTGTTCCCTTACTTTGTGTGCACGTAAAACATCTCGTCCTAGCAGTAGAAGTATTTCTGCATTATGGTCTAGCTCTGGAATGTACTTTGCTATGGACCGAAGGTGTGGCTGGTGTCGTGCAGCGTTTGGAGTTGGGATCTCGCTTCTTTCGTTAGGAATGTCCTGACATTCAATGAGAGGAGGAAGCGGGATTACCGCAGACCCATCTAAAGACTCAATGTAAAAGCCTTCAGCCATTTTCCCCCGTGTTTCAACGAGGCCTGAACATGTTCTTAGATCATAACTGACTAGTCTGTGTTTAATGTTGAACAGATCGAAGAACTCTGGCCTTGCTAAGGATCGATTGCTCTGATCATCGAGTATGACGTAAGCCTTAACCGCACTGTCCTGGTGACCCTCTGGATACACCTTTGTAAGACAAATTTTTGAACAAGAACGACCCCACTGACCTGGACTGCACACTTTGGTACATGTAGTGGTTACTGCGATGCTGCCTGAGATGTCTTTTTCTTCCCCGCCATCCTCTTGAGCGGGAGCAGGAGCCTTGATGGTTTGAGGTGGAGGGCCAGGATGCATTACTGTTTCGTGGCTTGTACTTTCACATTCGGAGCACTTTACTGTGGATTTGCAGTCCTTAGCGAGATGAGAGTCCGAGGCACAGCACCTAAAACAGATTCCTTTCTCTTTGAGGAAGGCCTTTCTTTCTTCGAGCAGTTTGTTCCTGAATGTCCTGCATTTATTGAGTGGGTGGGGCTTATTGTGCAGCGGGCAGTTGCTTTTAAAGTCCTTGTTGGGGGGTGTAATATTAGTTTTATTTACGGAGATGGGTTTGGCGGAGCTAAAGTTTCTCAGGTAAGGTCTTTCTGGGTGTGATTGGGTTAGGCTGTACTGTTGGTTAAAGCTTGGATCGTTACGTCTCTTAGCTTCTTTGCATATGAACTTACAAAAGTAACTGAACGGTGGAAAGCAGTCTTGATGATCCTCTTTATATTGTGAACCTAGTGACATCCACTTCTCCTGAATTCCGTATGGGAGTTTGTCCACAATCGGCCTGATTCCGCGTGACGTGTCAAGATAGAGAAGACCAGGCAGATACCCATCCTCTTTTGCTCCTTGAATCTCCTGTAACAGATCTCCAAGTTCCCTTAATTTCACATTATCCTTTGCTGTCATTTTAGGAAAATTGTCCAATCTCTGGAAGAGCGATTTTTCAATTATTTCAGGAGCTGCATAACACTCATGGAGTCTGTCCCATGCTTTCTGTAGAGCTACTGCGGGGCTATTGACATACACAGAGCGAATGCGTTTAATTTGACTACTTGATTCCTTTCCTAACCATCTTGTCATCAAGTCGAGCTCTTGTGTTGGCGTGAGGTGAACGTCTGCTGTAGCCCCGGTAAATGAGGAGAGCCACGCTCTGAAATTCTCTGGTTTGTCATCATATTGGTAAAGACCTGAAGTGATGAGGTCACGACGTGCTATATATTGTGCAAGTGGCTCTGATTGGTGTGACGTACTTGCAGGTGAGTTGTAGGGAGGCACGAAAGGGCTAGAGAATGGGTTGAGTGCGTTCTTTATTTGTTCACTTTTTGGTTTAGTCTCACCTTTAGGAGAGGAAGATGTGGTTTGGAAAGCCACGGATGTGTGTTGGATATGGCGTTTGGGCCTAGTATTAACACGTGAAGGTTCTGCGTCTGAAACGTCATTTTCAGTAGGATTCCATGTGATGAATGTGCCCTCTATTTCATCACTTTGGTTGCAGGTGACTGGAGCGGGGCCATTATGTTTATTCACATCCATTTGAGATTTCACATATTCACATGTTCTTTCTCTTTTAACTCTATCTGATTCTGTTCTTCGGCTCTCATGCCCATCTCGTATTAGCTCTGCTTCTTCTAGCACCTCTGCCTCAGCTACTGCGGCATCTGCTTCTCTTTGTAATTCTAGCACGTGTAGCTCTGTGTCGATTTTCACTTTTTCCACTTTTAACTGTGCTTCCTTGCTTGCATATGAGGCTCTTACCCTAGCCGCTTCTGCTTTGGCTCGAGCACGAGCGGCACTGCTTGCAGATGAGGATGAAAGACTTGCGTTGGTAGCAGATCTGTTGCTAGCCGCCATTTTAACCCCGATGAAGCTCTGAATGCTGCCTTTTCACTATTATGTTGCCAAATGAACACGTAGATAAACCACTGAAGAAGACCAGGACCACAAAGGACGTTTTTGCATTTTAATTTCTTCTCCAGATGGTGAAAACTGAAAGCATACACAATATGCTCTTAGAAAAACTAATCTCTACACAGACGAAAATAAAGTCATACATTGGCGCTTTAAATGCATTTCTCAACTAAACAATACAAAAATACATTACTTAAGATCTGTATAAACATATTTATAAACTTACGGCATTGCCTTGACAGTGCTTTAATGAGAATGGCGACAGATCGCGGACCGTATCATGCTGGATTTCGCCTGCTCTGTTTACATGAAACCGAAACCGGAAGTTAGCGCGGCAGAACCGGAGGTGAAATTGTCCGCTAATATTTTTTAAATAAAACTTACAAATAAACATGAAATATTTATAAGAAACCTTTAGAAATGCTTTTTAAACATTTAACTTATTTACTAAATTATTAACTGCCTTAAGAACAACACACGGTCATATATCTTGTTTTTGCGTATAGTAATTGTTGCTCTGGATGAAAGAGTACTTATTGCTCAGCATGTTTAACACGGACACTGTGAGTTTAGGGGAAACAAGTGTGTTTTATGTAGAACTACACCAAAAGAAAACTTATATTAGTAACTTAAGCTCTCAGTCAATTTAACAAACATGTAATACTAAGGCCACCATCTTTTGCTGTTTATTTTGCCTGATGTCTGATCAAAACATGATAGTGGCTAAAATATGGTTTGGAATACTAAAAAACTGTATATACCATATCGCTGTGTTTATATATACAGTATGTTTCTAGAAATGTATTGTGAAGCAGGATGAAAATGCAATGATAAACACTTCATGCAGTAATATGCTACTCTGCTGTGATGTGACATTTTGTGGAATCTAGTTCATCATCACAGAAATAAATATGGATATTTTTCATGTTTTTTCCAATTTTGTGTGAATAAATTCTTCAGTTTTGACAGCTATATTATTATAAATTTATCTTGATAAATTTATGTAATAATATTTTGGCAACAATTTTGTTCTGGATATATTGGGAGCAAATAAAATTTTTTCAACGTTTTAATTGTGAAACATCAGCACATTGCATTGTGGGATGCAGTGATCTTTCAGGGTGCATACTGTGCATATTAAACAGAATATAAGCAGGATGAACTCAACAATTAATTATGATCCAACCACTTATAACCTCTATGGATACCTCTCTCTCTCTCTCTGTGTGTGTGTGTGTGTGTGTTATGGGTATGCGTGTATCTTTGTGTTAGTCAACAAAGCTTTAAACGACAACATTTTGTTGTTTCTGTGTGATTTAGTAGTTTTATTAGCTTATAATGGCTGCCCCCAGACCATAGCTTCCCCAGGCTGCCTCCTTATGACCCCTTGACTCTTCTGAACTATTCAGACAGGCTGTCAGGTTCACCTCTAACACCCTGTTAGAGAGGGCAAGGGGTGGCTTTATAATGCTTTGTCTCATTCACAGACCATGCTTATGAGAAGGAGCTGGAAACGATCCAGTAAGGTAATAACAGCATGAACTGATCCCTGCCTTCTCTGATTCTCTGCTCAGACTGAAGAGGGCAGTGACCACACCCCTTTTCATTTTTTACCCTTGCTTACTTTTTTTTGCTGACTTTATTTTCTGTTTGCTGCAATATGCAAGGTAAGAAACTCTGCCATCTGGTGTACAGATAATAAAGTGCACATTTTTCAAGTGCTTTGTCCTGCCTTTAAAATTAAGGCTGAATCAGATCCAAATTCAGTACCGCTATAGTTTCCTTTGTGTATTGTAGCAACTGACTGAGAAAATAAAGCATTCTCTGTTCTTGCCATCTTTATATTGCATTGACTGCACGGTGCATGTGCTGCAATGTTCTGTGAGGAGATAATGCACTTTATCATTGCACTGTATCAGGATGTGAACAGGGGAACCACCAATTTATAGATACTGTTGATTTTAGATATGTGTTCTTCTAGTCATACCTTGAATAGTATGCATATTTTACCTGATTTAATGCTTCATTACATTATTTTATTTTATTTCTTGGTAAATTTGTGTGGTGGGTCTGTGAACAATGTCTTTCTCTAAAAAAACAAATGACAGTTTTGGTCTCTGAACTTGATAAATTTGTATGAAATCTTATCATTAACTAAAATGATTAAAATTGAAATTAAATAAAATATAAATATTAGATTATAATTAGAAATGTTGCCTTGGAAACAAACTGAATCAAATTTAAGTTAAACAAAGTAAAAACAAATAAAAAAATCGAATTAAACTGAAAATATCAATAAAAGTTCATTCAAAATATTAATACAATTTAAATATAATACTAAAATAACACTTAAATATTTGATTTGTAGATATTTGAAAAAGTTCTCAAAATAGTTGGTTGAATCATTATTTTCCTTTTGAAACAATCTGTTTTGTAAAGTGCTAAATAAAAGTGATTGAAAGGGAATAACCCTATTCCTATAAATATTCCAATTCAAGTGTTAAGCTGTTCCTTATCATCCTCACTATTGATCTTTAAGTTAAAATTCTGTTAAAGTTTTAAACTTATTTGCATATTATTTTCTTCCTTGTGTTGTGAATGGATTTTGTACTGTATGAAAGTGGCATGTTGGTCTGGGACGGGAATAATGTATTATACTCTCTTTGTCTCTGATTCATATGTGCATGTGTGAAACAGACCTTTCTGTTGCCTGCTAAGTGAAAGTTCTAGTGTCAGTGGTAATTTGTGGTCTTCAAGTGGTGGCCCATTTCTAAGACATTTCTAACACGCAACCTAGTTGCATTGATTTGCACTACTCAAGAGAACAAAATGCACAGCTCTCAGCTGCATGTTCCCAGCAGAGGTCAAGTAACTCCTATTTTGTTTTGTCTAATGTTAGAGCCCAACTTTCAGAGAGGCCCAGAAACATGAAAGTGGCTCTCCAGCAGCATGTGGATAAGGACGTCCTGCTGAAAGGCTTATCAAGCCTTTGAAGCTCCAAAGTGGGCCATGTTGGCTGGGACTCGGGAATACTGTAACAGTGCTACGATAACTACTTTTACACTGCTTGCTGTGCACACTTGGGTGTTTCTTCTATTTATACTCCCTATTTTTCTTTCATTTCCAAAATACTGTAAACGATGATCTCTGTATATGCAAATCAATTTGTAATTGATACATCTCCAAAATTAAGATTTCTGCTCTGATATACAGTACGAATATAAAGAAAACTCCACCCTGAAGTGTGTGTGCAAGAACAAAACTTATGCTAACACAGCTGTTAGCAAACCTTACGATTTTTTTACATCCAGTTTTACTTAATCTGCTTTTTTTATTAGTATGAAGCAGACTAAGATCGGCGTTCGTAGATCGACTGATAGAGACTATTTTTCCAAGATGGCTTCTTCCTGTATTCGTGAATTTGTCTGTGTGTATAAAATATCTTCTTATTAAACTGTATGGACACTGACAAAGTTCTCAATGCTTCGGTTTGAATGTAGGGACCCTTATTATGCTACCGTGTTAGTGTGGGGCTATTTTGAGCCTTGTTAGTGGTAATGACAACCGATTTTTATTTGTCATTACTCTATGCCCTATATACTAGCGTTATAGGCTAAACTGTTTTTAGAGATACAACTATTTACATTCGGCAATCATGAAAACAAATCTCAGATAACGGTTGATTATAACAATGTGTAATTAGACCAAAGGTTCATTTTGCGCCGGAGTTCTCCTTTAATTTTGACTTTACAGGGACTTTAAAACTGAACAGAAGAAATTGCTGGTGTTTCTTACGTCACAAACTACCTTGTCACCAATCACGTCAACGTGTAATCTTTATCGAGTGAATCTCTGAGCTGGTGTGAGTGAGTGGAAGGCTGGGCTTATTTGCATATTCATTGAACCCTATATACTAATTGAGGCAAGGGTGTGGAGTTACATTCAAGCTATTTTAAAACATGAAGAATTTTTGCCTCATTTCTTTTAATCATTTACTCACTCTGAAGTTGTTTCAAACCTGTATGAACTTCTTTCTTCTGCTTAACACAAACAAAGATATTTTTAAATTGGTAATCAACCAGTTGATGGGCCATATTGGTCATATCCATCAACTGTTTGGTTACCCATATTATTCAAAATATCTTCTTTTGTGTTCAACAGAAGAAAGAAATGAATACATGTTTGGAACAACTTGAGGGCGGGTAAATGATGACAGAATGTTTATTTTGGGGTAAACTATCCCTTTAATTTGGGCAATTAAAACCCTACTTCGTAGTAGACTTTAGCATCTTTTATTCTCTCATTAAAGGGGTGGTAAAATGCCATTTTCACAATATGTAAAATAAATCTCTGATGTCCTCAGAGTGTGTGTGTGTGTGTGTGTGCGTGTGTGTGTGTGTGTGAGAAGTTTTAGCACAAAATACCCCACAGATATTTTTATATAGCATGTTAATGTTGTGACTGGCCCTTTAAATGCAAATGATGCTGCTGCAGAGGGCAGGGTTTCAAGAGGGCGGGGGGAGCTTGTGTATGTTAGCAGCTTCTGATTTCCTCATGCAGATAAAATAACACTAAAATAACAAAAAACTGTTCTCCCTTTAATAATATGAACGGAGTCAGTCTAAGATGGAGAGACTCAAGAAGTGACAACATGTAGAATGCAACAGGACATCTCTGAATGGTTTGATGAATTTATGTTGCTGATTTAGAGTTAACTATCTTCAATTAGGATATTCTGTCATCATGTAATCTATAAATCTCTCATATAGGAACTGTTGTGAGATGCAGACAGAGTGACTTTCAATTGCATGTGAAAAGATTGATGCTTAAGTTTGAGCTGACTCACAAATGTACTCTTATACAACCATTCTTCCTCTTCTCAACATGATCTGCATGTTCCCGGGGCCGGTGTTTATGCACATTTTAGGAATGTTGTGTAGTCCCTACCAGCCGTTTGTTGTAGTCCTTTTCTTTAAAAGCAAAATATCTTCCTTTGCTTTGAACTTTGAGTGTTGTAACTTTGATAATGTTGTTTATGCTCAAACAGCAACATTACACACAAACTAAAGTTAGAATATTGAAATCATACTTTACCACCCCTTTAATGTAAGCCATAAATATAGCTTTTTTTTTAAATAATGCTAGTATTTGTTGTACTTGTACTAGATTTAATTTATTCTTAATTTAAATCATACAATGGAATTATTTTTTTCTGCAAATTAATACTGACTTTATTTAATTGTGGATTGAATATAACCTAAACATTTCTTCATGAGATTCACCCTATATGTGGACTGTTTCTTAGAAGAGGTTGATGAGACTTCTGTTGTTTATTTCATACGCTACCAATCAAATGTTTGGGGTCAGTAGGATTTTATAAAGCACGAATGAATTAAATTGGTAATAAGTGACTGTAAAGACTTTTAAAATATTAAAGAAGATTTATGTTTTTTAACATTCAATTCATCAA